TTCGTGAATAGAATAGTAGAGGAAGATTTCGTGGAGAAAGAAAGTCAAGCAGGATAATATCTGTAAATTTCTGTAGTATTTTCTTCGAAGAGCTTGGGATACCATCATCTATTTGCGGTCTTTTATTGGGCTTAATGGTCTGTAATACTTATTGGTGTTTATTTATTATTATTACTTTCAGTAATAGAAGTGATCGACACCAAGTCTTCACTACTGGCATATTAACTTTTATCGTCTCAGTTATAGTATTGAGCATCGTTGTCACGGAATCATCACAGTAAACAGTAGTTAACCATCTTCACAGACAATTCGATCTTTCATTCTACATCGAAATAACATGGTTGTTGGTCTATACGATTTCATCCGCTTTCTAATCCTTTCCTAATTCAACTCTCTTCCAGGCTGAATATTTATTCAAAGAAAATCCAGAGGGGAAAATGTTCGAGCCAGAATACACAAACGCGATGGCCTCGGTTCTGGAAATGATCGACAAGTATGGCAGCTTCGTTCTTCCCGAAGAAGAAATCAGCGACAAAATGTCTGAATTTTTGAAACGGGAGCGCAGCAAGTCGGAAGAAGTGATGGATAGTAGCGATATAGACGTGTGCACGAGTCGGAAGACCTGTATCACACCTTGTTTCACGTATGAAGACACGGACACGTACGAGGGAGAAGGAGAAACCGAACGGACAATCTCCGAGCAAATCTATGACAAGGAAGATTGACGAAGTTCGGACGAGCCAGACAGTTCTTCCCGAAGGATCTGGACGTTAGGTCGAATCGCATGGCAATTAATTAATCTACACGCGGTACGACAATGACAATATTTGACTGCCATCGTCACCCGAAGTTCCTGTAATCTGTTGAGCTCTACATACTAATATCCTACGTCTCTCTTCAATGTGTTTAAGAAGACATTTATGTAATGTGATGGCTGGACTGTGGATGATTATGCATTCATAGGAAATTTGAATATTTGAAAATGTACAGGATACACATAAATATACAGAATATTTAAAACAAAGAATTTCACCACGTTCAGATGACGAAATAAATATTTAGTTTGGTTTTATTCATATAGCTGTCTTCCTAAAGATATTAATTTGCATAAATATCTGCAGTTTAGCGATCGGAATATTTGTTTACAATGTATTACTATATTTGTTTACAATGCTAATTACTATAAGTGAGAGCAAGAATGAGTTTTATGTTGTGATTGTGTCATGACTCAAAGTACATTTTGATGTAAGTATAGAAATTGTCGATGCAGCAGATACGTAATATTTTACCAACACTCAAATTTACGCACCTATAGCAATATAAATAAACATTTGTTTCGAAGTCTGTTATATTGATTTCATTCTGACAGCAACAGATATGTTTTATTAGTTTAATATTGATATCTCAAGAAAGGGTTTATATGACTATCTCTTTTAAACCTTTTTGGCGACCAACAGATGTCTGTTTAACAATATTGTTCAACCGATGGAAGAAACCGTGGGCTGAGTTACATCCTCCATAGATCAGGCAATTGGTTCCAATATTTAAAAATAAAAAGTACTCTAATCTTTCTCTTTCATAAATATAAGGATATTCTTGCAAAATGCAATTACTTTTATAGACTTGAATAATCCTTTCTTGGACATTACATGTATAGTATGTTGGAATAAGGCGGACACTTTACGAGACATTTAATCCAACAAGATTATTTAAAAGATGAAGTGCCCATTTCTTAACGCGAGAGACTTAAAAGAAACGAAACAAAGTAAATTACTTAGAACTATGTATGATTACCGTAATGGTAAAAACAATTTAGCATAATATGTTCATTCCGTTCCAATTAAATGAACCCAAAAGTGAAAAGACTTTTAAACTACTTGTTATATACCGATTGCCTACATCATTAATTATACTACACCTACGTACGACATATTTTCACGGTAAAAATATAAAAATTCCTTTAAGCCATTTCACATATTCAACATGTAAGATTTTTTCGTTCTAATTACCTTTATATACCTAATTCTAACAAAAAAGCTTTTATATTTCAAAAGATATAAACAAAATATTATTTCCAAATTTTTTGTATGCCTTTATACAAAAGCTTTTGCTAAAAGAAATATCTCCAAAAAATTGTATATGTACTATCGAAATATTCTACGTTGTAAATGCATTAGAACTTCGTATTCCGAATTATCCTATCTTTCCAAACTAAAACACAGTAACCACGATCCAGCATCCTTATGAAAAGAAAACAATCTAACTACACAAATGCTATTTAAATATTATTAATCTATTTCCCAATAGTATCATATGTTGCACAGCGCACGAAGTAGAATGTACCGTTCGAGTCAGACGTAGCCTGTTGAACATCTGTCACCAGAAGGATGAAGCGGCAGAAACCGTTCATATATAACCACAATTTACATATTTATAATTAAATTTAACAAACAGAGACAGTTCACGAGAAAATGTAAAAGTATGTGAGAAAGAATAAGTTATGCAGAAACGTAGAAATATAGAAATAAAGATATGAAATGTAAAAATATTCGAGAGTTCTACGTGTTCTATGTTAGAACCAAAGGACGAATCGTTGAATCGAATTTCTTTGACACGATACAGAATAGGAAACGCGTACGTTTCGAGTTCATCAGTCAAATGTTACAGACCTTGACCGACTCGCGGTCGCAGATCGGAGACAGAAAAATCTACCGTGAGAATAATTCGTCTGTCGCAAATTGCACTTCAAAGAGCCAATTTGACCCTTCCTCTGTGTATGCCGCTGAACGTAACAGAAAACCAATTATCGTAGAATCTTTTTCAGAATAAAAGCATTATATTACAGCCGTAGGATACAGGAAGACCAGCAGCATATTGCTGCATAGAGGAAAAGTCAAAAAGTGCTCGTCGACTGTAGCCGATAGCGTTGTTTAGATTCGTTTCGGATTCGATGAATGCGATTCCAATGCGATTATTCGTTCGGAGCACAATTACCGTTAATCTGGTTCGAAAAGAAGATACATATAAAGTGGTTACATCGAAATGCAATAAAGAAACGAATGAAAAGTTGTTGCAATGAATCGCGAAAGCGTACGTTTGAATTATAAATTTATTTTATTGTACGCGTTTGTTGATCAAATGTATTTTTACGTGAGACTCGTTATGTTGAGTGGAAAATCTTGTTGTATTAATAAAGAAGGAAAAAGAGAAAAGGAATAAATGAAACAGAAAAAAATGAAAAGGAGAAATGTAGAGAGATGATGAAAAGGGAAACACTGAAATTTCCGCAAATGCAATATTTAAGCGGATCAAAAATCCCTGGTAATGGAGTACGTTGATTATCAGTTGGATGACACATTAATATTTCCCTGTGAGAACGCGCTCGTGAGCTTAAAATTCGTATCCAGAAGACTGTGAGCTCTATATCGAGCCGTAGGCGGTCTCGCGGGGCCAAGGACGATGCACATTGTTCCGCGTCTTTAATATGACGTAGGTTTGCTCCTTTCGCCGTGAGCGCTCGTAGTATCGCGGTTTACCTTTTTCGTGTTTCCTTTCAAAACAAGCGGTAAATTGTTTCACAACGTAACGGCCAGACAACGAATAGAAACACGCTTGTACTCCAACTTTCCATTTCCTTTATTGGTGTCGTAATATACGCGTTTGGAAATGTTCCGTTAACGAACATCTATAAATATCGCGTGTATACTACGAATAATCGAGTAGTGCAATAAATCACAGAATTTGCGTTGTCATTTTTATCATTCTGCTATTTTCGCAGCGTTCACCGCGCTGTTGTTTTTTCTTGCTCCCTTCCTTAATTTTTTATCGGAAGGTTAAGAGAAGTTATTACTTTTAAACTTGACAACGAACCATTATCGATTCCCCGTAAACATAAATAGAATCAATGCGTGCCAAGATAGGAATGAACACAACGCCTACACGATCGTCCCGTATCGGCTGAAAATATGTAATGATAATAAATCACGATAGGCGAACGTTCCAAAGAACGCAAAAACTTTTCATAGGCAAACGAAGTTTAACTAAACTGTGGGAATATCGATGTGGCAGGAATCTGAGCAAGTACGTAGGAGGATGTCGCACAAATTAGTTTGACGTCAAACTTTGATCAACATTCCTTAAACCGAAGCCCTATATCTCGAACAAGAACATAAAAATAAAACAAGAAAATATCGATACAATTGGCTTTAACAAAATACTCGTTCCTCATTTTCACGAAGTAATTGTAAGAATTTTCAATTATGTGCTCGAACGATTGGGAATTGAATGCTGAGAACTCTATAGTACTGTGCTTCAACAGGTAAACGTTCCAACGACTCAGTTAGTTTCTCAGACAGCTCACTTTGATCGGCTTTTAAATCAGAAATATCGATCGGCGATGATGGTTAAAAACAAAGGTACTTTTCATACAGGAGCATCCTTCGTTCGAACGTTGCCGACGTCGAATAATAGGACGATGGGTCTATTTAATGGGTCTTTGCGAAGCCGCAAAGCGCTAATTGGCCCTAAATCTTTGATTTTCCAGGGGAAGAAAGCATGCGAAGGGTTCGTAGGATCGAGAGGAATGCTGAATAATTTCGCAGGAACAAAGTCGTTCCGACGCGACGACGCCTCGTACGCCGTGAGCGTATATAGACGAAGCGTAGTCAGTATATCTGTATCTTCAAACACCTGTTAGCAACTCGTGTGGGCGGCTCGCCACATCGCCTTTAAATTCTCGCCACGATTAAGCACGAAAAGCCGCTTCCTCTCGTCGTCTGTTCACGATCCAACCGAATAGCAATGTCCCGTTACGATTTAACGTACGCATGCCGGACACGCGTTTTCCTTTTTGTCTCCAACGCGTCGTTTACACTTCACCAACCGTACAATAATATACCACTTACGATACGAACATGAAATCGTACTATACGTAGACACACTCGCCGAACATAGAAGAAATAACAATTAAAATAGTAATGAAATAAAATATAAAAACTTACCGGCGTGGCCTTGCACGGAATAATTCGCTTCCTCGCTAGGAACGATAGTTTCCTCGAGGACGCTCTCAGAAGCGGTCTTAACGACGCCCATATCCGATCCTATTTCTTTGACTTCGCTGTGACGGTGCGTACAGTCAGCGTGGTACACACTCTAAGTGGATGCGACGAAGTGAGGTTGTTCGATGACGATTAACTCGGCTTGATCGTGCCGCGTTGTCTGCCGCTGCCGGAATGCGCGGCGCCGTTTCGTCAACTTATTGCGTCTGCGTCCGCGCCTGCGTCCTCCGCCTCTCCCTTGAGCCCTCTATCCTGCTCCTCTTCCCTCCTTGACCCTCACACCGGTATATCCTACCCCTCTATTCTTCCTACCTCTCCGCATCCTTGTTCCTTGGCCAGCAACGCGTCACGGGATGGGGAGCAAGGCAATCCCTAGGCCAGGGTGAACACGCAGCCAAGAACGCAGGAGCGGGAAAGGGAAGAGAACGGTACGTATATGGTGGTGATGGTATACTAGCGATGGTTTGCCGGTGGTGGTACGTCAGTGATAGTGTGCCGGACTAGGCTGCCGTGGCTCGACGCGTCCGA